TTCCCAAACACAGTGCTGTATAACCGGGTAGTTTCTTTGTAACTGTAATTTCGCTAGCATCAATAGAGAAACCATGCACCTAAACTTAGATAACAACTTAAAGGCGTAAAGGCCGATTCATACTTCAGGTCGCGTACGTGAAAGCCATCGCTCGAACCGTCGCGCGATGACTTTCACGTACGCGAAACAGTTGAGCTCAGATCAACTTTTTCGCGGTGCGACGCGTTTCCCGTACGCGAAATGAAGTATGAATCGGCCTTTACAGTATGCACTGTATGTGAATTGTATGCTGGTCGCCTAATTCTACAGTGCACCTGAAATCTGGCAGGTCCCTGACACCGAAATTTTACTACACCGGAAATTACATCTTGTACAGTATGTACGATGCCTTCTGCACTGAATTTCAGCGCCGGTCGTTCGAAGGTCATGGCAGTCGGATGCGAACCCGCTCGTGCGAGTGTTGATACAACCATTCCTACCACGATGTCAAGAGGACCGACGTGACAAGTTGCTGCTTGTGTGAATTCAACAAACTGTGCACGATTCTCAGGGGTTTTTGGAGCCCGGGCCCATTGAAAACCTCTGCCATGCAGTAAAAAAAATTAATTCACTCTATGTGACCAAACTTGATTTCAGACGATTCTTTTATGTATCCTGAGCACAGAACTGTTTTTGTTTTGGAAATACGACAAAGATTACAAAAGTTATGACCGTTTTCATAAAGGTAGTTGTACACGAAACTGGTATTTGGACATGTATGCACGCGCATGTAACTCCAGCTCAAACTTACGGAGCGACTTGCACTTTTTTTTACGGTACGCGTACACACTAGGAGTCCTCTGTGCAGCGGTATAGCTTGACGCCACGCCACGGAAGAAACGCGGGATCAATGTAGTTCTGCACTGACTCGTGACGTCCTAGAACGTCACGCGTGTCACAGTGGCAGTGGTCATGACGTGTCAGAACGCCACGCGTGCTCAAAAGGTTAAATTTTAAACAAGACCACTTAGGGGACGTCCGTGAATATCGACATTTTATCACGAAACAAAACATGATGGCAGTATAAAATCACCTATAAGTGTAGTGTCGCCCCAACCCCTCCCTCTCTTCCCCCACAGAATGCAAAAACATGTTGACATGCATAATTATACAACAAAAGTCACACATGTGTCACTGATCTTCCATGTACATGTATCAAAGTTTTCTGAAATGAAATTGGCCAACCACCTTCCCCCCCCCCCCCCCCCCCGTTCCTACCCCATATGAACCAACATTTTTTTGTTTCTTGAGAAAAAAAGTTCGATATCTTTGCCTATGGACGACCCCTTAGGGGCCGGGCCATCCGTGAATATCGACATTTACCACGAAGAGTTTTTGAAAAGGATTTGCAGGCAAAATGGAGCAAAATATCGGTATGTCGGCTGAAAATTGGTCGAGCTTAGTGCGCAAGTGACTCATTTTCGCACGTTTTTGCCGAAAACGTGACACACTTTCGGTCAGTTTTCCCACACGTGACACACTGTTCGGCTTTCATCAGATCAAAAAGGTTAGCAGAATGTGGCCTGGCATATTCAAGGTGAAATATCGACGATGAACCAGCATAATTATTTTTGCTCCGTAATATCGACGATGAACCAGCATAATTATTTTTGCTCCGTAATATCGACGATGAACCAGCATAATTATTTTTGCTCCGTAATATCGACGATGAACCAGCATAATTATTTTTGCTCCGTAATATCGACGATGAACCAGCATAATTTTTTTGCTCCGTAATATCGACGATGAACCAGCATAATTATTTTTGCTCCGTAATATCGACGATGAACCAGCATAATTATTTTTGCTCCGTAATATCGAAGCTTAACTGGCAAAGTCGGGCTTTGTCTAGAACTCACATTGTACTAGTTTAAATAATCCGTACTGGTATAGAGCGTATCCAATAATCATGTGTCAGTATGCAATTAACCATAATTATAGAGAAGACAAGCTGGCTTCATCGTCCACATTTGGCAAGATTTAGTGGTGGCAGACTAGACAAGTGGAATAACCTTTTCATTCGTAGCATGCTCAGAGTCGTAGCATGCTCAAACTTCCCGCCGCATCTGCTCTGTGAGCTCAGATTTCACACGGAGAATGGTATGAACAAAATCTGTGTGAGACTTGATCCCGTATTGTGACTATGTTTCCATACGTACTTTATGACGTTTCACCGTTTGTCAGAAACTCACTA